GCCTGGACGATCTAATCATTGCGCTTCGAAGAAAAAAACTTCTGTCTTACTCGGGCTCGTCGGTTGGAACCGCGTTCGGATGTGTCACGTTCGGTATACTTCGTGCATACAAATCGCGAGCTTAACTCACGAGAAGACACTTTAATGGCGGCTCCCCGGCAGCTAACGGTCCGCATTCGTCAGACACGAGAACGATTTTTCTCGAAGATATCGTGAATCGCGTGGAAACGATCGTCTATCTTCCGCAGTCCACACTATCGAGTTCGTGACACGCGAGATAAGCCACGAATGAGAGATGCATGTGTATTCGATTCCACGATTAGAGGTGCATAAATCAAATGTCGAAAATCAAAATTCTCGTGAGTTAGTGATTTTCGATATTTCCAAAAAGATAAAAGTATCAGTTGAAAAATTTAAATGTCTAATTTCCTTTTTCAAAAGTTCGTGAACATTACTCTTAAATATAATAAAAAATTAAAAATCTCCATTAATCTCCCAAGTTTTTTCGAAAACAAATATCCTATTATCTCTTGTACAATCGTACACAATTTTTTTTTTAATATAAATATTCCGGCAACACACACACACACACACACACACACACACACACACACACACACACACACACACATACACACACACACACACACACCACACACACATGTATATAAGGAAATAAAAATGATAAAAATTGTTCTTTAAACGAAAATATTTCATCTCTGATTGAACCTTCACACTTATAAATCTTTTTACTTATTTAATCCCGTATGACGCGTCGCGTGATCGGCCGAACGTGATCGGCAACGGCAGTGCCGGGATCGAGTGCGTATTTACATGGACGGAATCGCGCGGGCATTCATGCGTACGCGGACGCGCCCAAGGCCCACGCGGGTCTCTTGGTGACAGGAGGGGACCGCGCGATCGCTATACATGGTGCAGGCTCGGACTACTAGGATGGTTCTTCCGGCGGGAGCATTTCCGGTGCTTCAGACAATACCACGGCGATGACGATCGCGACGCGAAGGGAGAAGGCTGTCAACGAGAGGCTCTCAACTCCTCGACTAAATTGACACTTCTCACTTTCCGATACTACTTCCGATCTCGTTTTGTGGCGAATAGGCTCATCATAAAGCGATCTATTTTTTAATAAAAAAAAAAAAAAAAATATCGATTTCTCGCGCCAAAGTGTTACAGCGGCGAAAGGTCTGCGCACCTTAATAATAAAATTCGTCGTAAAAGATTCATAAATTAAAATACTAGAGAACTGATATTTTAGTGTTTGATATAAATTATTAGATTAATATATTTTTTAATTAGGTAAAACTTAATTAAAATATATTATTTGGTAAAATATATTTTATCCTTCGTATTTTAGTATATTTTACGAAATATTATGAGCATAAAAGTTTATCGAGACTATATCTGTTTGCGAGAAAAGCATCGAGTGTGTTCTTTCGAATTAGATATTTACAATTGTTTAAAAATTTGATTTTCGCATCGATTGGGTAATGTTTGCACGTAACGAAAATATCGAAGGCCACCGAGTGTATATTAAAATCCGCATTGTCGGCATCGATGTCCTCGCATCGTCATTGTGCGTCCGTGCGAATCTAATTTTTCCACACGAACATAACGCAGCCTTAATACAAGAGAAAAAGGATAATATACGAGCCACGAAAAAAATCAATTGGAAAAGATGAAATAAACGATTAAATTGACACAGTGGGTGTAAGATGAAAGAAGAACTTTTCTCAGAGAATAATGAGTTGATCATCGTTAATTTAACTGTACAAAAGAAGAGACAATGTATTTTTCTAACAATTTTTGTTGTGAAAACATTACTCTATCGGAATCATTATGTATTAACTGCTTTTTCTGGATCATCCAACTCCCACACACAATAGCAAAGCGGAATATTTCACAATAAGACTTTTAGATTAGCCACAAAGAAGAAACAGAATTTTCTAGCTCGAAACTCTTGTTGAAATTAGGTCATAACTATATCTATTCGTGAGAGAAGCTTGAGAGACTATTTTACTTTTTTATTCCGCCAACAAAGAGCTACGTTATAGAGATCAATATAGGATGCTTCATGATTCGCAAGCTATATTATATCCTTGAAGTGCGAGGTATTTAAATAGAATCTCCTCTTCCAACAATTTTTCGATTTTCTTCATACAAATACAAATTCTCTGATTTTTCACAATAATAAAAAACAAAATCTTTTTCTAAAACTCCGTTTTAAATGCTAAATTATTTATATAGATTATAATATTTTAAATTAAAAAAATTCATTGTAAAAAAAAAGGTAAATTTTTCAAAAAATACTTCTTGTTGCTGAGATCAAATATCCTGTATAATTGTTAAATGTAACACAATATTTCTAATATTAACAATTTGTTACACGATTCCAAAAATATTAATTTTATAGCTTTTTAAAAATGAATAAAACATAAAATAGATTTATCTCTAAATTAAACACTATTTTATTTATCCATTACAGACACATCTTGTTTTTAATTTACATCTTGTTTTTAATTTTCTTATAAATTAAATTGTATTTTATTTCAACTTTTTTTCTTGTTTAAATATAAATACAAGTGCTTGCATTATAGTGAGTTTTGATTCGTTCACTAAGCTCAATAAGAGAAATCATATATTCTCGCATGATTTTATATAATAAATTCCTTACTTCCTTTGCCATCTATAAACTATGAGAAGAAATAAAATACCGGCAGTTGGTAATAGAACTATCTAGAAAATCATACTTTCTTACAGATGATATAGTAAATGCATCGGTAAGGTAGGAAATGCTATGAGAATAAACAGAATTTAATAAAATTGATGTTAATTTATTAAAATGCAATCCGTAATAAAAAAATTACCAATACAAATATTAAATACATTTACAAAATTATATTTTATCCATTATAACTGAATAAATAAAATAAATATTATAGGAAACTACCTTACCAAAGAGTATTTAAGTATCTTAATTATCTACTTTATTTAGATATGATGATATTATAAAAGTATTTATCAAAAAACTGTACGCCCTTTATTAATTTATTATAAAAATATATTCATAAGACAATTGCACTCTGAATTTTTATAAATTTATCATTCAAGAACAAGTTAGAATAAAGACGATAATACATAAATGACAGTATAAATTCTATTGAGATATAAATTTTTTCTTTTCTCTACTGTAATAGCTAACTGAATAGTCGACTAAACAGTTAATTGAATAGTTGACTGAATACACAAATAATTTTATCTCCGAGGTACTTCAAGATAAAATATGAAAATTAAATCCCATCGTATTTCACAACTTTTCGCGACTTTTATACTGCAAACGCAAAGTACCTTATTTCACTTCTCGCGTAATCGTATTTTTTCTCCACCGTCCTTTCACGTTGCTGCAAAAACGGAGCGAAATGGAGGGAAAAGTGTACTTGATTCTTTTTGAACAATATCAACTCGTTAAGAACCACCGTGCCGGTGTCTGTCAGTCGCAGCGACGCCAGCAACAATTCAAACAAAGCGCAATTAATGTCGACCGACCTCGATTCTCTCGCTATTATGCCGGAGACAAAATGTCAGCCGGTGTTAAATATCGTGTCAGCAAAGCATTTCGGCAATTCCGACAAAATCACGCGAGCTCCTTGTACGAGACACAAACACGAGTTTGAAGACTCGAGGTTGCATTGTAATCAAAATTTACGAAATTGTCTCAAATATTTTCCAAATAATTATTCATGTGTAAATATATAGTAACAACAACAGTTATTTATGCACACATGTAATAGCAATAATTTTAACATATTTCATAAAAATTTAACACATATTAGAATTGTACAATTAAAATGTTAAAATATCAATGTGTCTTTACGATTTTCAACTTGCTACAGAGATTTTTCAATAAATATATAAAATATAATATTAGTATAATATATTCATTTCTACGTATCTGTAATAATAAATATTTGCATCTATTTTCAGAGAGATAAAAATTTTAATAAAAATTTTAATGAAAAAAATTAGAATAAAATTTATTTGTTATACTTAATATTTATTAAATATTTTATCATGTTAATGCTTTTAATAATAATTAGTGTTATCATTCTTTTATCATTAAAAATCTTTAAATTTCTTTAAATTTCTTGTATTATCACTAAGTGCTAACCGAAATATCTTCATATAATAAAAAAAAAATATCTATCCTATTTTCAATAAATAAAGTTTTCAAGAAAATAAACATTCTACATTACTTTTCTCAAACTTCTCAATTTCGACGTCGAACCTTTTTTGATATATATATATATATATCGACGTCGAATCTTTTTTGATAAACCTTCAGCACTTACGTGATGATAAACGTAAAATTTTTTTTTCTTTCAATTGATGTACCGTTAAGAGAGTGCGATCTTGTATGATCTT